ATGTACTTGAGACTCCTATGGTCAGTTCTGATAATGAACTTCCTAGGCAACAAGTAATGTCTCCATTTTTTAACAGCAAATACCACTGCTAGCAACTCCTTTTCATAAGTAGAGAGTGACTGCAAAAATTCAAACTTCTACTGATAAAAGCCAAGGGATGGCAATCTTGCATCAACACGGCCCCCAAACCATACCAATAAGCATCCACTTCAACAACAAAATTTTTTGTGAAGTCCAACAAAGCTAACACAAGGACGGCCACAAGTTTCTCCTTTAAAGACTGAAAAGCTAATTTTGCTGCAGGGGTCCAAGTAAAATTATCCTTTTTAGCAATAACGTCATATCCCTTGACAAATCTCCTGTAATAACCCGAGATTCCCAAAAAAAACCCTTAATTGTTTCAGATTCTATGGCAATGGCCAGTTGGTGACCGCTGAAACCTTAGCTGGATCAGTTGACACTCCCTATTCTGAGATAAAATGGCCCAAATATTCCACTCGTGGTACACCAAAATAGCATTTGGATTTCTTGGCATATAAAGAATGCTACTGCATTGTAAAGAGTACCAGCTTTAAGTGCAGCAAATGACCCTATAAACTAGCACTGTAGAGCAATATATCATCGAAAAAGACAAGGAGGAATTTCCTCAAAAACTCCTTAAAGATATCATTCATCAATCCTTGAAATGTCGCAGGGGCATTGGTTAGCCCAAATGGCATAACTAAATACTCAAAATGCCCTCCATGCATCTTAAAAGCAGTCTTATGCACATCAGCTAGATGCATTCTAACTTGGTTATATGCAGCTCTTAAATCAATTTTGGAGAAAATCACAAATCCATGCAGTTCATCTAAAAGATCATCCACCAAAGGAATGGGAAACTTGTCTTTGACTGTATTTTTATTAGGTCCCTATAATCCACACATTTCTTTTTGTCAACCAAAACTATAGGACTTGCATAGGGACTGTTACTTTGCTATATAATACCACTGTCCAGTGATTCTTTCACCAATCTATCAATTTCATCTTTCTGTTGTTTCCCATATCTGTAAGGTCGCTTACTAATTGGATTGGCCCCTTGCACAACTGGAATTCTATGGTCATGTCTATCTCTTGGAGGAGGAAATTTTATTGGTTCTTTGAAAACATCTTCAAATTCCAGCAACAAATGCTCGAAATCACCAAAGATATCAGTTTCAAGAGTGTGTGTTGTCAAAGAATGTAGTAAACCAATTTCTTGGCTATAAGGTTGTATCATGGAGAAATGTACACTACTTTCCAAAGCCCTGGACAATTGTTGTTTCCTCACATTTTTAACATTAGTTGTGGCCCCTCTTAGGACATGTTTACTGCTGTGGACAAAAAATTGCATTAACAACTTATCAAAATTCCATGTAATATCCCTTAATGTCACAAGCCATTCAATTCCTAACACCAAATCACAACACCCTTGGGAAATTAACATAACATCATAATTGAACTTAGTACTTTGAATTTTCCAAGAGAATCCTTTAATCTTAGAAGAAATTGTAACTTTAGTGCCATCCGCAACTGTGACATTCAAAGACTACACTGAGGGGACTTTACAGCCAAGCTTTTTAGCTACTTCAATGTCCAAGAAGTTATGAGTGCTTCCACTATCAATGAGCACATGCAAAGGTTTCTTACCGACATAACCAGTGATTCTCATAGTCTTAAAGGGTTAGACCAGTCATAGCATTTAGTGAAATTACAAGGTCAATAGTGTCCTGCTTTGCAATTTCCTTAGCAAGGGACATATCGTCCAAGGTTTCTGTCACTTCTTTAACTTCCAAAACATAAATTTGTAACTTTCTATTGGTTAGACTACGTTCTATAGTGAAGGTTCATCACAAAAGTAACATAAACCCTTGGCACACCACTCACTCATATAAGCTGAGGTAAGGATTTTTGTAACTTGTGTTTTAGGTTTGAAGGTGTCTGAGGGTTTGGGTGGGTTACGCAGTATAGGGGGTTGGCAGGGATAAGTTTAAATGGTTTAGAAAATGGTTTTGAGACTGTGGTGGAATTGGTACTAGATTCATATAGTTTGCCCAAGGAAAATGCTCTCTACACAGAATCAGGTTTGAACATCTGTACCATCATTTGAACCTCTTGTTTTAACCCTCCAAGGAAACAACTCAGTTTGTTGTCATCAAATAAACTCAGCCTAGCAACAATAGAATCAAATGCCTCATGATAATCTGTAATTGACCCTTGTTGTCTTAGCTTCATTAAATCTGCCATAGGATCATCACAGACCTCTCCGAACCTATCAACCAAAAGTCTAGTATATTCTAACCAAGAAGGAGAATTAGGTAATCCTATGGTTTTAACATAAACAATGTGTCATTGAAGTGCTCTAACTTCGAAATGAACAACAGCCAGACGTACTTTGTAATCATCCGGTGTGTTATCAATAGAGAAAAACATTGCGGGATTCATTGATTCACATCATCGCCATTAAACCTTGAAAATTCTAGCCTAGCCAATCGGGTGTTACAAGAATAAGTAGAAGATCTTTCACCACGAAATGGATTTCTAGAATTTTGCAAGTGATTTGGCCTAAGATTTTGATTCTTGCGAAGATCTTGCAATTGTTTTTGAAGTTGGTGAGACAAAAATTGGCCCAAAGATTGAGTCAATGACTCATGCAGTGATTGTTGCATCGAAGTTGCGAGTTCCATGAATTTAGTGTTGATCTTCAAGCTGAGACATGTTTCCAAACGATCCTCCGCGTTCTACCACTCGATTGCATGTTGAATCTGCCATTGATGATACTTCTAGAACGTAACAGTCTGATACCACTTGATATAGCAATTCTAGCCATTGATGATACTTCTAGAACGTAACAGTCTGATACCACTTGATATAGCAATTCTAGGAATCAAGAGAAATGAAGAACTTGGATAATAGAGATTCCAAGAAATGGAATGGAACCCTAAACACTTTATTGATTTGGTTTGAATTACAAGAGAATGACAATGCAGAAAAAAATTTTGTTATTGAATGACCTCAAATTCTACTGTGATCAGCTATATATAGCTTATCCACACAATAGTAGGAGTATTCAAAAAAATCCAGTTTTATAAGTCCAATCTATAACTAATATTAAATTAATTTTAAAAATCTAGATCTATATTAAACTATTTTTTTTATTAATTATATTTGTGTAAAGTTTAGTGTCTGAATCCACTTTTTAAAATTGAATTATTTTTTATTTGTCTAAATTCATATATATGAAGCTACTATCTTATATCTTTACTTATTAAATCTTCGTATTATATTAGTTTACAAATTTTGATTGTAACTACATTTTACCACTAATATTTTTTTAATAATCTTAATTCTTATAATTAAAATTAAATACTTAAAATAATTAAAGATATTAAAATATATTAAATATTTTTAAATTAATTACTACTGTTGTTTTTATATTTATGTTTATTTTTTAATTTTTAAAATATTATAACATAATAATTTTATTATTATTTATATTATTAATTTTTATTTTTATAGATTTTAATTTAAACTTTAATTATAAACTCTGTTTATTAAAAATAAGTTAAAAATAATAATAAATATTTTATATATTTCTATAAAATATAATATATTATTAAATAGGAATAAGATCCATTGACATAAGGTGTAAATCTAAAAAACTTATACTAAATCTCAACCGTACAAATCAAATAATCTATTAGTTGAAAAGTTACTTTTTTCTATTTATTTTTTTTATATGTTTTTCAGGTAACTTTTCAACCATTAGATTATTCGATTGTAATTGAAATTTTGTGTAAGATTTTTAGACTTATACTTACTGTCAATGGATCCTATCCCTAATAAATATTGTAAAAATCTTTTTAAAACGCACTAATTTAATGCAACGTTTTGTACAATAAATTAGTTTTAGCTTAAAAATAAAATTCACAAATGTATTGAAAATCAATTTTGTGTTAAAAGTTAAATTTAAAATTGGATTTAAAACTAATTCAACGTAAAACTAAATTTAAAACTAGTTTCAACAAAAACAAAATTTAAAACTGATTTTAAACTAAATTTAAATTTCAAAACTATTTTTGAACCAATTAAAAAAATAAAATAAAATAGTTTAAAATTCAATTCATATAATTAATTTGTATGATGAATAGATGATAAAAAGTAGAATATATCTAAATATTTATTACTTTAATAAAATAATAAAATAAAAAAATATTATTGATAAATTAAAATATACACAAATATTCTCTTGACATGTATTGTTAATTTCTTTTAGAGATGTAATGAACTAGAGTACCCCTTGTATTCATATTTTATCTTTAATAAATTTTGATGATTAACAAATATATATATATATATATATATATATATATGCGCAAATATAATGTTATATTATTTATTATAAAATTTAAATATTTTTTAATATAATAATTAAAAAATATTTATAGTATATTTTTACTATATATAAAAAAAGTTTAAAACTGATTTTGAACCAAAACTAAATTTAAACCAGTTATTAAAAAAATTAAAATAGATTGATTTATAATCCAATCCATGAATTTAAATTAAATTTTTAAAAATTCAATACATAAACACTCCTACAAAACAGAATTTACAACACAACATAATTTACAAAATTAACCCCTACTACTTGTAATAGCCTATAACACATTGCTTGCCGGTGAAGAGTAAGGTATTGAACAATTTTCATTTTTTAAATTGTCAACTCTAGTTTTAATTGGATTTTGTAATTTCATCTTGGTGTAATTTTCTATAAAATTGTTACAATCTCGTTCAATTCGGCTTCAGTTTCATCAAGTTTGTCATGTCAGATTTCTGGTTCTATTTTCAGTGTGAGAAAAGTTGGTACGATTCTGGCACAATTTTCCATGAACAATTGTTGCTTACTTTGAGTGCTACCTAACAGTAACCTAGGCATCTCCGTTAGAGATGCTCTATAGGGCATATACAATGAATTTTCAAGGTTTAAATAGAAATGAAACATAAGTTCATGAATTTTCAAGGTTAAAATAGAAATGAAACACAAGTTCAAATACACTACAAGGCTTAGAGCATGTTTGTTTTCCTTTTTAAAAACAGTTTTCTATTTTTAAAAATATAATATAATACAAATTTGTATTGTATTTTATTTTTAAGAAAAAAAACTATTTTTAAAAAAAGAGTATTATATTTTATTTTTAAAAATAGAAAACTGTTTTTAAAAAAAGAAACAAACATGTTCTTAAATTAGGTATTTTTTTAATTAAGTACATTTTCAAATTCTCCTATAGACTGACACCTGAGTGCATGTTTGGATTAGATTATTTTCATCCAAATAATCGCTTATTTTTCAAATTACAAGGCTGTAAATCATAAACGATTATTTTCTCAAAATAAACTTATTTCCAAACATGCATTAATGTTCTTTCAATTCAATTATTCCAATCCCCAAACACTTAAAGTTCTGCTATTCAAATAACACCTCTGATGCTATCTGGGCTCCCCTTCCCCATGCTATGTAAAGGCCAACGTGATGCATCACCTCCTGCAGCATAGAAAAACAAAAATAAATAAATAAGCATTAAAAACAATTATCCATTGGATCACAAATGTTTGTTCCAATTTACAAGTGTAAGATCAGCATAATTGCTTCCAATTGGTCACAAACCATGTTAGTGCTGACAAAAGTTAATCCGTTGCACTAATAGGAACACCATAAATAGGTCATAAGCCTCAGATGGAAATCACAAAAATTTCTTGATATCCTATCAACCAAAACTGTAAACTATATCTCAAATTCCCTTCTTGCGAAGTTGTTTATTCTCACCCTTCTGGAAGGTCCTGACTACAAAAGTTTCTTAATCTCTAGTGTCCCATGGCTAATGATGAATCTAATCCAGACACAATCGCAACGTGTGTAGCATTAATGTCAGCAAAAAGTGGTCTGGAGAGAGCATCAGAACTCATGAGAGGTTATTGATAAGTGTTCATTGTCGTATATTAAATCAGAGCAGATACATGTTTACCAGCATAACTCAAGCATTCTTAGATATTATTAAGTGATCCAAAAGTCAAATGAAATAGTAATTACCATCACCCCCAGCTTCTAAATATTGAGATCCCTCATACTCATTTTTCTCACACAAGCCAACATTGAACACAACTGAAGTTGCAAGGTTCAAAATAATCATAACCAACACAAGAAAGGGCAGAATTGCAATTTAGACAACAATTCAAGCAAAGAAACATTATGATAATCAAGTGTTTCACCAAAAACCAAACTTAATTCAACCTGGTACCTGTGGATGGGATACCACTTCCTTGTTAGTTTTGGCCACATGTAATGGAACATCATAAGTAGAACAAGCTTGGGAAGATACAATCACATTCTCCAGAGGAGGAAGGAAACCACGATTCCTTGCAGACAAAACAGAACAGACAAAATCCAGCACACATATATCAGTGCATATCCCAGCGACCAAAATCTGTCACAAGAAAAGAACAGCATTAGAAACTCAACAAAAACCTCTGAACTAAATGAAAATAACATAAAAGAAAAAAATCATTCAACCTATGCCATGAACAATAAGAAATAAAAGATTTAATTGACACAGTACAGTGTAAAAGGTCTCAGTAAGTTATCCTTGTAGTGTTTATCAATTTGAGTTTTAGTCCCCATACTATTTTGTGTTTTTAATCTGATAGGAACTGATTGTATTATAGAATTTAAAGAACAAACGCAAGGAATAACCCTGGTAATACAAACAAATAGAATTAGATAGCAGAAAGGAAACTAGCTACTAGAGAATGAGATTCCTCCTATGGCAGCAACCACCCTGAATAACCTCCTTGATAATCCCTGCCTCTGCCCTCTGTCCAGCCTCCATATATTCCCTCTCCTCAGCTGCCTCTCTCTTCCCTCTTTCCTTCCATGCAATGTTATTAATGGCGGATGGCGGTTCATGGCAGAAACTCAAAAAACTGCCATAAAGTTATGGCGGCCACCATGGCGGGTTATGGCAGATTTATGGCGGATGTAATAAAATATATAAAAATATATATAAAAAAATACTATAGGTCACAGAAAATAATAGAAAATAATTAACTAAAAATATATGTAACATAACCTTCAATCTAAAGTATAATTAAATACAAAATATGTAATTATCAAATGTCAAGTTAACAATAAAAATAAAGATTATCAATTTAGTCTTCTTCTTCAACTCCAACATAATCATTCTCTTTCTCATCCACCAAGGCATATCCCTCCTCTTCTTCTCCTTCAGATTGTGGAAGATTAAATTCTAATTCATCTTCTGTTTCTTCCGACATTTCTTCATCTTCTAATTCTTCATCATCATCTTCAAGAACCATTTTCTCTTTTTCTTTTGTTGTTGAACATGCCTTAATCTTGGAAACTTTTGCAGCTTTGATAGTGATACCACTTGATGGATTATTTCTTTTCTTAGAATGACGCCTAGTATATGTTGTAGGCTCTCCAATTCCAGAAGCTTCATAAACAGTTGTCCAATTTAAAGTGTTATCACCATCAAAAACTAAGTCATTTCCAGCATCCTCATCTAGAGCATCATCATCCATTTCTCCAACCAACCACTCATTACACTCATCAATATCATTGAGTGTAATTGGATCAATTACATCTTTAAGATTGTAACGTTCTTTGAGTTGTTGGTTGTATTTCACATAAACCAAGTCATGTAATTTTTTGTGATCAAGCCTATTTCTCTTCTTTGAATAAATCTGCAACGTGAGTTGAATTATAAGAATATTAATCAGTTTCTCTCTAATTTATAAAAGAAAATAGTAGGCTCGAGAGATAAAAAATTACTTGCTCAAAAACACTCCAGTTGCGTTCACATCCGGATGCACTACATGTCAAGCTCAAAATTTTGATAGCTAGTTGCTGCAAATGTGGAGCTGAATGTCCATACATTCTCCACCATTGAGCTATAAAATGAAAGATAAATTATAACTCTGAAGATGAAGTATAACCTTAAAATTAAAATATTGAAGAATTTGATGAATTACCGGGAGCAATGCTTTTTCTTTGTGATTTTGCAAAGTCGGACCCAAAGAGACCACCACCGCTCTTGTAAATTGGTAATTCAAGTAGTATACTTTGTTGCACATCCCGACTTGGCACTAACCTCTTGATACAATCATACAACCCATTTGTAACTTCCAAATCAAATTCAATTTGAGGGTTGTCATAGTAAAATTCCGGATTTAAAATGTGACCAGCTGCATGTAATGGACGGTGAAGCTGACAAGTCCATCTGTTATCAATGATTGCAAACACATCTTTGTATTTACTATCATTATTTTTGAATGACTTCATGATAGCTTCTTTACTTTTCTCCATTGCTTCATAAATATACCCCATAGCTGGTCTTCTTTCTCCATCAACCAAACGTAACACCCGGACAAAAGGAGCCATGATTTTCAAAGTATACACCACATTATTCCAAAATACAGGATTTAATAGAATTTTTGTTGCTTGCTTCCCTTTAGCTTCCTTTGATAACTTGTTTTTACACCATTCTTCAGAAGTAAACATCTTTCTAAGATTTGCTTTTTCTTGGTGAAGTCTTTCTAATGATAGAAAAGAAGTTGCAAATCGAGTAACTGCATGTCTTACCAATTCCCTCTTGTTTGTAAAATTTCTCAACAAAATCAAGGTACTTGAATGACTGTAGATAAAGCCAACAACCGATATTCCCCTTTGAATTGTCTTCTTTATTAAAGGAAGCTTTCTAATATCTTCAAGCATAAGATCTATGCAATGAGCTGCACAAGGAGTCCAATAAAGATGTGGTCTTTTCGCTTCTAACATCTTACCAGCCAAGACATAATTGCTTCCATTATCCGTTATCACTTGCACAACTTTATCTTCTCCAATCTCTTCCACAAGAGCATCAAGCATCTCAAATAATTTTTCACCGGTCTTCACAAAATTAGATCCATCAATAGACCTCACAAACATAGTACCAGCAGGAGAGTTGACCAAAAAATTAATCAAGCATCTTTGCTTTCGATCGGTCCATGCATATGACATTATGGAACAGCCATGTTTGCTCCATTGCTCTTTATGATCTTTCATGAGGGAATCGGTATATTCTAGCTCTTTCTTTAGAAGTGGAACTCGAATATCATGATAACTTGGAGCTGGTAAATTTGGACCGAAAGCACCAACAGCTGTAAGCATTTCTTGAAAGCTCTTCATTTTAATGAGGTTAAAGGAAAGGCCAGCTTGATACCAAAATCGAGCTATGTATTGATGGACCCTTGCCTTGGCTTCTTTGTCACATCGTTCTCTTATATTTGTTTGTCTCAATTTTTCCTTTTTTCTTTTCTCAATTGCACTTTCAGGCTTTCTACAAAACAAGTCCATTGGCCCTTTCTGATTTCCAATGGTAACGCTACGGGTTTGGGTATCCTCTTCATCCTCACTTACATCATAGCTTATACCTTCAAAGCTTCTCACATTTGGCATCTCAAAATTATTTTGATTCTTTTTTTCCTTTTGATATGTCTCAATCTCTTTTCTAACTTCTTCTGGACACTTGGGACAAGCTTTCACGTTACCCTTCTTTCCAATTAAATGTTGTTTCACTCTAGTGATTCCCGCACTCATAACTTTTCCACAAAAATTACATACAATGTTGTTTGTATCTCCATCTTTCACCGAATGAGCATATTTCCATCCCGGGTCAGAACGATTAGAAGTTCTTGAACAATTTGATGAAGACTCATGTTGAGCCATGTTAAGAGTAGCTGAAATAAATAGAATTTTTTTTTGAGGAAAATCAGAGAAAAAACAGAGAAAAATAGAAATGTGGGAGAGGTAAAAATTGAAAGATGGAAAGGGTAAAATTTAAATAGGAGAAATAAAGAAAAAACTGAGAGGAAAAATGAAAAAAAATAGCTACCAGAAAAATGGAGTCGCCGGAGATGGAAGTGCAGTCGCCGGAAATGGAGGTTGGAGTCACCGGAGATGGTGCAGTCGCCGGAGATGTAGCTGCAGTCGCCGAAAATATAGACCGAAATGCACCAAAACAGAAACACAAAGAGCCCAAGAAAATGAGATCTCAGCAACGAGATCTCAGAGAAAGCAGTCGCAGAGAGAGAGAGAGAAGTGGTCGCAGAGAGAGAGAGAGAGATGGAGGGAGCTCAAAGAGATGAGCAGAGTGAAGAGTGAGATCGCAGAGAGTGCGATTGCAAAGAGAGGGAGAGTGAGATCGTAAGGAGAAGAGAGAAAAAAAACTTGGATTTAGGCAGTTGGGTTCTGAGCTGGGTCGGGTCGGGTCGGATCTGGCCCAAAAGTGCAGAAAATCCATTTTTTTTTTAAAAACACCATTTATCACGATTTCCGCTATGGCCGGCCGTTACCGCCATGCTCGTAACGGCCGCCATGGCGCCGCCACGTCATTCCGCCACGCCACGCCATCTTCGTAACGGCGTCCATCATTTCCGCCACGCCATACCGCCATGGCGCTGCCATAACGGCCATTTGACAACACTGCTTCCACGTATGCTAATTTGTTAGGCTGTTAGAATCTGGCCTAACGGCCTCCTTGCTCAACTTTCCCTTTTTACCCCTCCTTTGATATGTCTTTAATGGGGGTCCATTTGGCTTAGACCCAACATAATCCCTATACTATTATTTATTTGAGTTTGTTGAGAATATTTGTATTTCCATATTTACCTTCTTTCCTTTTATATAGAAATCTAATTTATTATGTAAATAATGTAATTAGGATTCTGCTATAATTACCTAGTCAATCCCTATAATCAAGGGATCTAGTTTTGTACAGATTTCTATTATAAGAACATCTGAATGACAAGAAAGGTAGAACAGTTTTTACCCAAATTATTTTTCTAGCTCAAGTGAGTTTTAGTTTTTATCCTTACCAGTAAGAATTAACTTTTCATATATTTGAGTTTTAATTTCTATAGTTTCTATACATCAAAAGTAAATTGTTCTTATCTGTTATAAAGAATCCGTTCCTGTAGTTCAACTTATTAAGATATTAGTTACTGGTATAATACTATAGAGATTTATACCCATGGATGTATATAACGAATAAAATCAGGTGAGTTAAGCGTAAGAACTATAACACCAAAATCTACCTTAAAGTTTAAACCCATAGAGTCTTACACTACCTGTGTCAAAAATTAAAGGTTTCTACATTAAACTTACTTTCTGCACTAACTTGACACTTTTTTGTTTAAAAGTTCAAAATTAAACAGAGAATCAAATTGAAAATAAGTGCTCACTTGTTTTATCTGATTATTCTTCACCCAATCAATGAAGACATTAGAGCCATCTTTGTCAATTGATCCAAGGAATCCGTCAGTGCATTCTTTGCGCCTGAGTGTAGCATTTGGTTCATTTTCCAACCAAAGGAGATCTTCGAATCAGAGGAAACCAAACCAAATCAAACCAACCTAATAAGCACATATCCTCATACCAAGTAATAATTTAATGAACTCAAAGCATATTATCTACAGAGAAATAAAATTATGGTAATCTTTGCCCCACGAGCAAGATAAGACAGAAAATTTTGTTTCGTTCCATTCTCTTAGCTTCAACCCTTCAGTAAAAGCAAAAGGTATTGCTTTTTAACATTCTTTATTTTTCTGTCCTCCCAAACTTAAAAAGTATATCCCATTCTAACATGTTTCTACCAAACAGTACAATTATCCTCAAATCAGTCATTCAAATTACATAAGTATGATACTTGTAGTTTGTAAAATTTTAAAAATTGGTAGTTCTCATTTTATAAAATATTATTCATTTTAATAATTTCTTATTTTATTTTATTCTATAATTTACTATAATTTTATGCTAAAAAAATTAAAACAAATGTCATTTTAAAACAATTTTATCACGATAGTAAAGAGCTTTTAAAATTTCGAACACATAATCTGAAAGATTAAACAAACAGTATACTCCAAACACTACCTACAATTACAACGACAGTATAAAACAAATTACCTGGAACCAATTTTGCTTCATCAGTTCCTGTAAGACAGTGCGGCGGATAAGGGGGTTCGGGTCTATCCGGGTAATGGCAATCAAAGAAAGCGAAAATTGGCCACTTCTTCTCAGAGAACGCTTTGGCAAGCCTCACTGATTCCTCCACCATCTTAGAAATTTGCTCATCTGGTTCTTTGGGCGCCTACACAACATCTCAAGTGACAAAAACGAAACCGTGTCACATAAAGCGCAACAATATAACAATTAATTTCGTTGCATAATAAATACAATAAAATGCCAAGGAAAAAGACAAAAAATAAATGTTACAAAACAAAAAATAAATTTAAAAGTATTTACGAGATTGCCAGCCCCAACTGTGCAGAAGCCGTTGACAAGGTCGACGAGGACGAGGCCTGTTTTAGTGTCTCCAGACAAAGTGAGAGGTTGTTGTTTCACAGGGATCTCCTCTCTTAGCAGCTCAACCGTCTTGGAAACCATCGTGGCTCGTTTTCTTGGTCGTGTTGTTGGAGGCACGGTTATATTATACGCCAGATAAGACCTTGACCAGATCACGTACTAATATTATAAGGCAAGAATATTTAATTAAATATTAATAAAAGAGTGTCCTCATTTCCTTGACCAGATCACGGGTTCACTTCGTTTTGATTGACGTAAAACATAAGCTGTTCCCTTGTGGTTGTGGATGCCTTCTACTCTGCTACCACCACATCCATTGAGCTTCAAATCGAGAGGTTCTGTTTCTTTCCGCTCCGCAGAGGATCCCCGTTCCGTTGCAACCGAGTAACTTGCCTTTTCTTTTTTACAAAATAATATGTAATTGTAGTCGAGTTAGACCATTACAAAAAGTAAAATTATGTTTCATTTTTATTTTAATTATTTATTTATATTTATTTTTAAAATTATTTATCACCCTAATTAATTCATTTATTTTAAATTTTATTTAATAATTAACAAAAATATAATAAAAATGTAACATATACTACTATCAGCTTATATAAATTAGTCGAAAGATATAATATTTTAGAATTTTATATATAAATTTTATATTTTTGTATAAATTGATAATATATTATAATTTTTATAATTGTTATATAAAATTTTAGAACCAAAAATTTAATTTAAATAAGAGTAAATGCTATCAATTAAAATTATACATGTTAAAATATATAAATAAAAAATCGTAATTAAGTCAATTATATATAGTCATGAATTTGTATTCATCCATAATATTAAACAACAAGATATAGTCCTATTAATATTATATATATCATGTTAATATGATAATACGGTATGATAAACTTATGTTATTTAATTAATTAAACAAACATAAAAAAAAATAGGATACAAAATTTATATTATTTTCTATTATGATAAATGTCAAATAAATTTTTATGACTTGTTTAATGAATATAATAAGATAAGAAATAATAGAACGTAAGATATGATTAAATAAGAGTTTATATATATTATAAGTAAATCAAATAACACTATGTCATTATGAAATAAATAAAAAGTAATTAAATAAGATATAAATTTTATTTAAATAATAAAATTTTATTAAAATTAAATAAATTTTTAAAAAACATTTTGACTTTTTAATAATATATATGTATTTATTAAAAATTAAAAAGTAATTGTACATATAATATTAAAAATTTAAATAATTTTTAAAATTTTGGTAATAAAATATAATTAAAGAAAAATAAATTATAAAAATTTAAATTATATTTTAAAAATGAGTAAAATATTTTTTTAAAAATATAGTTTTAAAATATATATTTTAATAAAAATTATTCATATAATATAGTTTATCAAAAACATTATTATATTTATAAAATATTAAAAATGATATAAAGTATTAGTAAAATATAATAAAAAGTATTATATCATGATGTTTCTTAATTTATTATCTTCTTAAAATAAGAATTTGAACAATGATAATAGGGTATAATTACTTAATAAGATAATTTGTGTCACATCTCAAAATTTCTTTATTTTTAAGTTAGTTACTAATTGTATCAATTTAAATAAATTAGAATTAGATCATAAATATAAAGTTAGAAATTAAAACACAATTAGTTAAATTTATCCAAAAAAACAGATGAATTAAGAAAAAAATTAGGTAACGAATTATAGTTTAATCCAATTTTAATAAGAATTATTATCTAAAAAAATTAATAATTCTATATCATCATAATTATGTATTATAAAATTTAAAATCAATTCAGAGAGAATAAAAATAGAAAATTAAAATAAGTTATAAAATTGGCCAAAAAGACTAAAATACCCTTAGAATAAGCCTAGAAGACCCAAGTTAGATAAGAAAATGACAATGAAAAATTTTGAAATTTTTATGACAAATTATTGGGCTAAATGTGGTTGTATTCATTCAAGAACCAGATCCAAACCTCAAATAGAAAATTCAAACCAATTTTTGCAAATTCAGCACTCAAAGTGATGTGAAAAAAGCTGGGCAAATGGACCAAAACTTCCAATTTTGTAATCGTATCTTACCCAACCCAATTGGCATGGTTTCAGCACGAAAAATAAACTAAATTTGTCAATAATTGGACAAGATATCAGCTGAGGTGAAGGATGCCAATAAAAAAGAAGACTTGGTTTACTAAAATTCCTTGATGATGTGACATAAGGTCAATGGTTCAATCCCTAACCAAGGAGCCTAACCAAATGTCAACCAAACCCAACCAAAAATAGTGTTATATGAGGAAAAATCTGAAATTAGAAACCAAGAACCAAAGGCAAACTAAGAAGGAAAACTTAGGCCAATTAGATGACATCACAAGGGTCCAAAATATCCACTTTGAGCATGATTATTGGGGACCACTTTTCACCATGATAAAATCCTAATTTGGAGAAGGCTCCAACAGCAAAGTTACTTCACTTTTACCCTTCTAAATGTTCATGAACTCTCTGTCCCATAAAAACTAAGAAAAAAATTAAAAAGCATTCCCCAAATACAAAGCCTAAATTCACGTGTGAATGGAGCAAATTTGAAGACTTAGCCAAAATTCCTAAATCAGCCAAACCAAACTCTTCTACACACCTGATCACATCCAACACATGCCAAAAATAAACCCCACCACTCAATCATGTCACTCTCCAAGCCAACAAAGTAGGAAAAACTCCGAAAACACCAAATAACTCCACCACTAAATTTAGCAAAAGAACTTCAACATTTGAGGAATTTTTTGGACAAACTCAAAGTTGACTTGGATCGGTAGTAAAGAGGTTCAAACTAGACTAAGAAAAAGAAGAAAAAGAAGAGATCAACACACCCTAACAACCTCACCCAAAAAGGCAAAGACAAAATCAAGTAAGGGAGAGGAGTATGGTTCATAAATTGAGGGAATATTTTTGTTAATTAATTTTGAGTCAAGGGGAACCCTTAACCCTTTATATTAAATGAAAATTTTGTGGGTCTAATTGATATATGAAAAAAAAATTGATTTGAACAAGAAAATCCAAGAAAATTGTTAAGAACAGCAAAAATAGAAAATTCTGCAAAAAAATCTTAACCAACTGTAGATGGGTATTTTGAGGGAATTTTACTGATGACTTTGATTGTTATGTGTATTTTTATGATATTATATTGATTATATGTGAATCCATGTCTTAAATTGCTTGAGGGTTTTGTTAAAGTTTTCTGTAAATAATCAGGAGTTTTTTGTCAAAAATTGTCTACTATTTCTGTAAATATTTTTTTGACACATGATTTGAGTTCTAAGTTTTTGTTTGACTTTTATATAGCATAAATACTCTAAACTTAGTAAAAAAATTTCGTGATTATGCTTTGGTAGAGCATAAAAAGGAATTTTTATAAATTTTTAAGAAGATTTATAGTTTTAAGATAGTTATAACTATTTTTGTGTTGATTTTTATTTTGTTAAAAAATTTTAAAAATCACAAAAATTTTCCTAATATTATCTTGTATTATTATAATATTCTTGATATTTTAGATTTATCATTGACTTGAAATAATATTTTTAATGTATTTTTAAAGATTTTGAGTGAAAGGGTAAAAGGAAAATGATTTAAAAATAAAAAATTACTAAGAAATAAACTTTGGACCCTTGGACAGATTTTGAAACCTCTGAAGTATAAGAAGCATATGAATTTGATCAAGATATTGAGTTAAATTTGAAGGATTGGACCTTTAAATGAGAAAATACTATGATTGGACCATAAATAGACTTCAAAAAGTTTAAAATAATTAATCATATGAGTAGTAGGACTAAAGAAATGTTTTTAACCATACTGAGACTTGAACAATGACTTTGAAGCAAGGGAAAAACTTGCTGGACAACCTGACCTCTTCAAGATTTGGAAAAAAGACCTAATTGCAATTAGCATAAAGAAAAAGGACTAAATCTCAAATAATGCAAAATATAAGACAAACTTAGAAAAAAAATTGTATTTTATTCATGTATATCATTAACTTTTCAAAAAATTTCCACTGGTCTTACTTTATTTTGATTTAAATTGAATTAATTATGATTTTTCTAAATTCTATTACATGAAAATAATATTCTAAGAACAATATGTCTTGATTCAGTTTTATATTTATTTTTTTATGAAAATAGACTTCTTATTGAAACATTTCTCATTGGTTTCACTTGATTTGGATTTGAAAAAAAAAAATATGCATTTTTTAATATAATGATGTGTGTAAATGATTCTTGAGAATAGCTCACTTTACATTCCTTTCTTCTTAAAATTCATGCATGATGTGATTTTAGTTATATTTTTGTACAAAACTAGACTTCATAAGGAAACCATACGCACTGAGTTTACTCAAATTGGAGTTAAAACAAAATACTTATGACTTTATAAAGTTGTTGTTATATGAAATTAATGGTTTGTGCATATTGCTAAGAAACTTGATTTTGTTTTTAAGGATATATGTGGCATTATTTTATTTGTTATGAATACTCAACTTGATTTTGTATGAAAATAGATACTATAGGAAAAATATTCTCACTGGTTTGATTAATTTTGGACTTAAAATAAAATATTTATGATTTTTATATTTAACTGATTATAAGAAGTGAGTTAATGTGAGCAACAGAGAATAATTAGGACTCGTTCTGAGATATGAAAGTAATGAATTTCTACTTGTATTTTTCACTAAAACTAGATAAGAAAAGTGAAAGAATGTCACTGATTTCATGAATTTTGGTTGTGAATTAAATAACTTATGATTTTTCTAATATTCAGTTACAGAATTAAGCTAACATGTGACATGTACTGATAAATTAGAGCATGAATTAATGTCTGTAAACAATGTGAATTTGAAAGTATTTTTACTTTGAAATAGACATAGTACAAAGAACAATATCACTAGTCTTATGTATTTTGGAAAAGAATTGAATTTATTACAAATTTTACAATTTATTGGATTCTAAAAATGTCATCATGTGAACAGTAGAAAGAAACTAGGTTAAGTGTTACTTTTTGTGTAAAAACTATTTATGTGCATATTTTTGTTGAAAATTAGACACTTAAAGGAAGAAAACCTAGGTGATTTCATAATTTTTGGATTTATATTGAATTAGTTATGAATTTTACAAATTGAAGCATGAAATTTGGAAAAATCTGAAAAATGAATGATTATGATAAGTATGTATCCAATGGGCAAATTAATGGCTAGAATTCATTTTGTGATTATGAAACAAT